TTTTTTTTTTTTGTAAATTATAAACTCCAGCTCTGGGGTGATTTACCCAATTCCCTTAATGTAGTCTGGGTTTTATTTAATTTAACTTGCATATATTTTGTTTATGGTTGTGGAGGATGAGTGCATGTCTGATTTGGTTGATAATCCTATTTATTTTGCTAGTCTAACTAGACATTAGCATTTCGCTTTGTTAGCATTTAGCTTAGTTTCCCCTTGCTGTCTATCAGAACAAGCATGTGACAATCCCCAATTTGATAGATTCAAGTTTTCATAGGTTTAGGATAAAAACCTACACAAGCAATAGCCAAGTAATTAGCTTAATTAGCTACAATACAAACTGTTGTCTTGCAGATGGATGTAATTTAATGTAGCCTAATGCAAGGCAAGAAAGGCAAGAAAGAAAACTTTCACTCTTAAAAATGACACAATCTGTGTTAAATTTTTCTCAAATAAATCTTGTTTGGCTGTGAGACTGATGGCCTCGTGTTTTTTTTGCTATCCTTGCTGTTTTCCATTCAAATGGAGTTTTGTTACACATCGGCGCAGTTGCGTCGTTTGACTTGTTTTACCCGGCTGGATCCCGCCACATATGGACTGTGTAAAACTATTGGAATTGCTCGTGGGCCCGCTATATTCATCGCTCACCAAAACGACTCCTGAACATTAACTGCTCTTCGCCTGCTTCTATCCCCTCCATCTGGTCTCATAGATCAAGCACATGGAAGTCGTCCTCTACGTACATACATCGCAGAGTTTGTTTATCATTGCTAAGGCCACTAGAAATGACCAGAGTTGACTATGTGCTTAACAAGAATTTGCAGCAATGTGGTAATTTTGCCCTACTCAACACTCGGTCTTTAACTGGGAAAGGAACATTTCTTCAGGACTTCATCTCTGACAATAACTGTGATATGCTGATGCTCACAGAAACCTGGCAAGCATCTAATGACTTTGTTGAACTTAATCTGCTTTCTCCTCCTGTTTTCAGTACTCTGACTAAGCCCCGAATTGGAGGCAGGGGTGGGGGCCTGGCTGTGGTCTATCGCCAGAGTCTTCATATTGAGCTGTCTCCTTTCCATGAGGAGACATCGTTTGAATATTTGGCATTTAAAATCACTAGCCACTCTTCACTGCTCATAATACTGGTGTATCTTCCTCCTAAAACAAGCATGCAATTTCTGTCAGACTTGTGTGAATTGTTGACAATTGCTTCTGCCCAATCTACAGCTATGCTATTGCTAGGGGATTTCAATATTCATGTTGATACTGATACTGTTCATGCTCTTGAGTTCATGTCTGTATTTGATTTTATTATCTGTATTATTTGTTTTAATCTGCAGCAACATATTGATTTTCCAACTCATGTACATGGCCATACACTGGATTTGGTCTGCTCTACTGGTATCGACATTACTGCCTTAAAAAGCTCTGACATAGGTATTTCTGATCATAAACTGATTGAAATTTTTTGTAATTTTTACATTCCAAAACCTGTTGTTAAATCTTTGATTGAGTATCGTGCATGGAAGTTGGTTGATCCTCTGTCATTTTTTGCTGCACTCAGTGATTCCCCCCTCTCTGACTGCTGCAGTCTTTCCAGTGCTGAAGACATTCTTAATGTCTATGATGAAAGTATTTCTACTATTTTGAATAATTTTGCTCCCATAAAATCTAGACAGGTCCCTTCCTCGCACACTTCTCCTTGGTTCAACACTGAGCATAGGGCAATGAAAACCAAGGGCCGCCGGCTGGAAAGGCTTTATAAGAAAACTGGCCTTATTGTTCACTCCTTGGTATATACTGAACACATTAAGCAGTACAGGAATGCTCTTAATGCAGCTCAATCATCTTACTTCTCTACATTCATTAATAAGTCCAAAAACAGGCCTAGAACATTATTTACTACAATTAAAAAGTTAACACAGCCACCCACACAGTCTCTAGTGGGCTCTGATCAAATGTGTGACGCTTTCCTGAACTTTTTTCAGAGTAAAACATCTCATACCTGTCAACACCCTATTCTGTTCCCACTACTGAACTTCTCTCTTTATGCCACGCTCATAGCTTCTCTAGTTTTGACTCTATTGTCCCCACAGTGGTTGATGAGATAATCAGGCTGTCTAATTCCTCTACTAGTCTTCTTGATCCTGCACCTACCTCTTTACTCCTCGCGCACTTCTCCTTGGTTCAACACTGAGCTTATGGCAATGAAAACCAAGGGCTTAGAAAGGCTTTATAAGAAAACTGGCCTTATTGTTCACTCCTTGGCATATACTGAACACATTAAGCAGTACAGGAATGCTCTTAATGCAGCTTGATCATCTTATTTCTCTACTTTCATTAATAAGTCCAAAAACAGGCCTAGAACATTATTTACTACGATTAAAAAGTTAACTCAGCCTCCCGCACAGTCTCTAGTGGGCTCTGATCAAATGTGTGACGCTTTCCTGAACTTTTTTCAGAGTAAAACATCTCATACCTGTCAACACCCTATTCTGTTCCCACTACTGAACTTCTCTCTTTATGCCACGCTCATAGCTTCTCTAGTTTTGACTCTATTGTCCCCACAGGGGTTGATGAGATAATCAGGCTGTCTAATTCCTCTACTAGTCTTCTTGATCCTGCACCTAACTCTTTACTGAAGAATTGCTTGACTGCTTTGTCACTACCCATCACTCATTTCATTAATAGGTCAATGCCACCTGGAACTGTACCATCTAAGCTTAAGATTGCTGCTGTCACCCTGGTTCTTAAAAAGCATTGTCTCGATCCTTCTC